GTTGTTCCGCGTAACGCGTGGATTTTCACTAGTAAATTATATATTATTGTTTGTTTCTAAAGAACCAAATGCCTACGTAGAACACACTTTAAAAATACATTTTAAGAACTAATGGGCCTCGTACCAAAGGGACGGTGACCTAGTGGTAACACAAGCGAGTTGGTTTCTTTGTGCCCCGGGTTCAAATCTTTTTTAGCACGGAGAGTTATTCTTTAAATCAATATATCTAAAGACTGTCTCCGGGTACCGAGGAGATTATTAGTCAAAAGCTCAGAGCTCCCACGGTGTATAAAAAAAAAATAATGGGCCTTGTGCGATGATTTGTTAGGCCCTGCGCGACGAGCCATTGGGCCTAGTGCGACGATCCGTTTAGCCTACTATGGGCCGATGCATGAAATTTAAACAAAGGAGTAGAGCCAAAGCAGAATATCATAAGAGCAAACCCACAACAAAAGCCTATAAAAACTTAGCCGACTTAGTGACATCTGCGAATAAAAGAAAATCTTGAAGAATAAGAAAGTTTTTCTTTATTGTTTTGGGTTTAGCCCTAACCGACCTAAACTTGTATAAATATTCATGTACATCTTCCAAAGAGGTGACCCGCAATTTCATTCACAAAACACTTGTATTATTTTTTGAGACAACTTTCTAAAACAGCTAATAAAACTTTCTTGAAATCTATTCGTTGTAGTGGTTTTTCGCATAATTTTTCAAATCCTCTAAAAGTAACATGACAAATCTCATTGTGAGATTTGACACTACAACCAGCACATTTAGTCTACTCTCACAAACCCGTTTATATCTTTTCCACTATTTCCTATCTCTATTACACAAATAGTGAAAGTACCTATTCTTCATATTTGCTACGGTAAAGTGCATAATTATCATATTTGTCTACTACACTAAGTTACCCTTTAAACATTCTTATTTGTAAATATATAAATGGTTAACGGTCAAGACTAACGAGTTTTCGAGGATGTAACTGAAATCAGCTGCCAAAATGAAACAGAAACAATGAAACCAATAGTCAACTAAAAATTTAGCTTTAACAAAAGTAGCCATGCATTACATTCTCCACTATTCAAATCCATAAATATCTGTGTGGACACGAGGGAGTACTGATGGTGAAAATAAATGGACCAATTGATTTTGTTAGTCGATGACATAAAGACATGTTATATTCCTAGTACTATCGGATGCTATTGATCAAGTCCCAAGAGGTGGAACATGTGGACCAATGGAAACTACAAACACTTCTTTCTTTATGACAGTATTCTCTTATCTCATTCTGTTCCAAAAAAAACATACGCCACCTCTCCTTTTTTTTCCTTTTGTTGAAAATATCCTAATGCTTTTTATCTCTACATAATTTTGCTTTATAAAACTAGACACTTTCAGTTATTTTCGTAAACATATTCTTCACATCTTGCTATTTTTAATTTTTAGATAAGCACGGATGTTTTTGAGCATAAGATCCTTGTAACCTTCTTGTATGGCTGCTGTTTTATTTCAAAACAAAAAAAATTCCAACAATCATAACTCATTCGATCATTAACCATTTAAGTATGTTAATCACGATAATAAATTATATATTATTGTTTGTTTCCACAGAACCAAATGTGTACGTAGAACACACTTTATAATCAATCTAATAGTTTATATTTTTTTTCATTGTTACTATCTTTCAAACCTGAAAATGTATAAATTTAATTTATATGACAACAAAAGAAGAACAAATGAATTTAGACCACTTTAAAAGTATTGGGAGATGATCTCTCAGATGATAACATTTGTTTTACTATTTGAAATTATTGGGAGATGATCTCTCCCAAATTTGTGTTTTTGTCATATTGGAGACCCATAAAATTTGTACGTTAGAATGATTTCCTCTCTTAATAGTTTAACTAAAAATTTACAACTAGTTTAACTGTGTTAGGTTACATAAAACAATGACACATATATTTTAATTTTTTTAAATTTAGCTATTATTGTTTGGATTCAAATAACAATATGTTAAATGTTTTCTTGTTTTGTTTTCCAATATATATCTATATAAACAAAAAAGAAACAATCCCACACTAATCTCTTGACTTGAAACGAAAATGTATAGTTTCCAAACCTTGTATACAAAACTATGATGATGGTCATGGATATTAAGAAATTTTATTATGGTATCATCATGAAGGACGAAAATGTAAAACAAAAAGCAAATTCCATTGCAATTGCGCCCAGTTTATTTCTTATAGAATGGTATAGAATATCCCACCATCACACACCATGCACATGATAAGTAAAACACTCTCATAATCTTCTTCTCTCTCATTATTACATACATGCATATTAAACTACTATAGTCATCGTCAGCGCTTGGTATCATAAAATGGTTATTATAACAATACTATAGATGCATAAATCTCATAAGAATATGCAGTATGAATAGATTAAAGGAAGAAGGCATCTAGCTTCTTCGTCCGCCGCAGCCACTCTCCCTCTGACAGTTGAAAAATACCGCAGCCACGGGATGGCCGAGATTGTAGATCTCAGCAAACTCACGAGTGCAGAATTGTTGGCGCCACCCCGGTGTATACACTGTTTGCCTCCCGAGCTGTCGGAACAATATCAGTACCATACGGTGAATCCCCGAGGTTGGGCTTGGATTTTCGTAGGACACAATCTCATTGCCTGAAAACAATCATCAAACACATGTGATTCGTACCTACTTATCAATTTTGCATAGTACATTTATACATATAACTCTTTCTATCTATCAACGGCCTCAATCTATAGAGTAAAACTGACCAAATGTTGTTCCGGTTGTGGCAGGAATATCAGTCACCAACCTATAATGAGAGTACCCACATATATAAATTTTGTAAGAGATAGCATAAAATAATTAAAATGCTACTTGAGCTTACACAGAATATTAATAAGGTAATTAATATCCTTCCTTAAGATCCATAGTAATATTGTGCTTGTAAACCAGTTGATTATACGGCGCATGTGAGACTAAGAAAAGCGATGTTTTGTGATGTAGCTGTGATATAACAGGAAACCTAGTCCTTATTCACTTCAAGTCACAAAGACACGTCATCAGGCTAAGGATGTTCTGTACAAACAACACTTTTAAAGTGCAAAACCAGATCTTAGTACAAGTCATGTCCTATACTTCAATAGAATCTATGTATAGATCAGTCAAAACACAAATACATATATAGCGCACATATAAAGTTTTTTAAAAAGATTATCAAAGAACTCAATTTATTTTAGATGTCACTTCCTAAAAAAAGGTTTGAATCTTGTATCGTTAGAGCAAGTCCAAGCGGACTGCATAACACCATAATTGGTGTCAAAGTTTCTCCAATCGAACGGCATATTTGACACTAAATTTTTCTTTTTAATGTTTTGTAAACAGTGCCACACCATATTAATTGTATTTTCACAAAACACTAAAAAAATATATCATTTTAATTGTATTTTTAATTTAGTA